AGAATTATAATGTCTGGACAAACCTAACAATCTGATATTCGCCGCCAGTAAATAGGAGATTCGTTGGACTTCTTTAAAGCAGTTAATTAGTTGACAGTCCATAAATTTGTTAATTATTTTCGAATTATTATCTATTTCCTCGATGTTCTCTAATATAGGCATTAAAAGGTGACAAGAATTGTTATATATTTTTAATATATTTTTTTTGTTATGTGCTTTAAATAATTCAAACGTAGATACTTTAGACGAAGATCAAGGGCAGGTTTTTTAGCTTTCACTAAGATGATATTAGTTGGAATTGAATTTCCAAGTCCAAGAGCTAAATTTAATGCTTTATATTTCATTCTATTGAGCTTTAGAGTATCTTGTTTGAACAATCCGTGCAATAAAAATTCACCATACTCAATTCTAGATCGAATTATATTAAATAAAAGTTTATAAGAAGTTTAAGATCTGTTCCTCCAAAACATAACATAAACATTTTATCGTTCTAGATATGTTGTATGTGCTTGAACCAATTCAGATTTGACGTAAGATGTAGACCCAAAAACTTTACTACAGAAGATTTACTGATACAAACTCCTTTATATATATGGTTATATATATGATATATAGATTATTTATGCCTAGGAAATGTTTCCTATGAGAGAAAATACAAAGTTTGGTTTTGTCAGCAGATATTTCGAGACCTAGTGTGGACAGGATTTCCTTTGCTCTGCTCATAGCATTCTCGAGAATATTCGGTTCTATTCGTATAGGATTGTTATTTGTAATAATAGCTACATCATCAGAGTATTGAATAATACTATAGTTATTATTTTTAATTTCGTCTAGATCAGCCACGTACTAAAAGTAAAGCATCGGACTGAGGACATTACCCCGAGGAAGTCCTTTGTAGAACCAGGTTATTTCATCTATGTCTTTATATCTACGGTGAAGTTGTCTTGATGAAGTTAGGTTATAAATAAAATGAAGAGTATTTGAAGGAATGCTTAATTTGACAAGTTTTATGATTAATACATCTATTAATACATTGTCATACGTTCATTTAATCTCCAAGAAGATAGCAGCTGTTGCTTTGTTTAATCTAAAAAACTTCATGATATTAGAATATAAAATAGAAAGGTTATCAATACATGATAGACTTCTTCGAAATCCAAACTGAAAATTCGGAAGAAAATTATGATATTCGATCCATCAATTCGATCTGTTATGAATAAGTATTTTACATACACAAGGGGTTAAAGAAATAGTCCTAAATTTATTTTTATCCGCTTTAGGGATGAAAATCAAATATCTTTTCCATTCCGGAGAAAACATTTTAGATGAAATGATATCGTTAAGTATCTTCAAAAGAATATCAATGCCTGTCAGAGGAATGGCCGCGATAATTTTATAATCGATCCCATCAAATCCCGGACTGTATTTTATTTTAAGGTTATTTTTTAAGAATAACAAAACGTATTTTTTCCAGGCTAAATGGTAAATCTAAAAAAGGATCGAAGTCATAATTAGAGAACATCGGAAACTTTTGTTTCTTGGAAATTCCATCTATTTTTGGATTCTTTTACAAATCATCTTCCAAATGTAGAAAGGATTCGTGTCTTTTTTCTTAAACTTTTGCAAAATGTACAAAAATTTATTGTTTTTATTTTTCGAAAGTCTATTCTAGCTTCAGTTTCTGCTTTCTTAAAGTTAATAAAGTCTATCCAGAAACGAGAAACTTTAAATTTACCTATAGCATCTTTATGTAATCTAACTAACTTGTCACATTCTGAATTTCACTATGAGCAAGATGAGGATCTTGACCACGTTCGAGACTATGCAGTATTAGAATCTAGATAGAATATCAGGAAATATTTTTTTTTTTTTTGGAGAGGGGATGATTCTAATAATTCTACGACTTTATTATTGAAAAACTCCCAATCATTTAAGAATGCAATTTAGAAGAACCTATATAGCGATGGTAATCCAGAACCGAAAAGCAATATTTTATAAAAATCGAGAAATGGTCACTTCCCAAGAGTCTCCAGTTACCTGCTAATCAAAGTCCAAACCAATATCTGAAAATGTTATAGATAAATCAATAGCGGACCTGACTCCTTGTGGATTAAAGTATATTATTGAGCCACTATTGATGCAAACCGTATTAAATTCCGTTAAACCATCCAGCAATTTGATACCAGTTTGACAATCTCCGCCAAGAGGGCGAGACGCGTGGGTCGTTTAGAAGTCATGCTGATGCGTATCCCGAGCGTCCACATGATTGTCCGGCATATTCCTTTACCCCGTGGGTCAAGGGAGACTATAACGGTTTCTCCTCCGTTATCACAAAAAAGGAGTGTCCCCAAACATCATGATGTGCATTGAAATCTCCTCCGAAAAAACAACTATTTGGAAATCGTCCGCAAATTTTTTTCCAATTAAAAGTCCCAATCAGAGGGCTGTCAGGGGCCTATAGCATGAAACAAAAGTTATCTTATCAGAATTCGCAAAGAGGTTAATAGCATATACTTCGATGATTCCACTACAAACACCTGACTTCTCTCTGAGTATTTGATATCATTTCTAATTCCTAGGGCTCACGGTGTTCAAAGTGATCTTTCCTTATTACATCGAAGCCCTTTAATATGTCTGAGAGATTTAACCATTTAATGTCTTTAAAAGCAAAAAAATGTCAATATCCGCGATATATTTACTTAATTCTATTAATTTATATTTAAGGTTTTTACAATTTCACTGTAACAGTCTAAAATTTTTTTTCGAGTTCACCATTTGGGAACAATTTATTACCAATTGACTCAACCTTGACCCGTAGATTCTTCATCAACTGGTTCTTTTCAGGAAAATTCGATAAAGTATTATCGATGAGATTCAGAAAAGATAAAATAATTTTTTTTTAATCTTGCGATTTATTAATAACAATTATATTATCCATACATGAGTTATGAGAAGATCTTACTTTCGATGATTAAGTACTATCAATAGATGAGTGATAGAAATTTTTCGTTTTACTTGATTTTCTTATTTGAGGAAATTTGCAGGAGTTTTGAGTAGCCCTTCAGACACAGAACATCTGGTGACGGATGGATTTTCTTCCATAATTTTCTTCGCTTCAAAAGAGGATATATTGTCCATTTAAGGATCGCTGCATGTTTTTGGTACTTACGCATTTTCTGTCGAATGAGGCATATTCTTCGTTACAATTAATGCAACATCTTTTTTTCAGTATATGTAAGCTCCTTGGACAGTCGATGATTTCCTCCATAGACCAGATTCTTTTCTTGACAAGTTTTTCTTACGTGGCTTAATCTATCACATTTAAAGCAAATTTACCGATAGAATATAATGTGACATAGAGATTTTAGCTTTCCAGATAAAGATGGAACTAGGTAGATTTTATCCCTTGAATTCCAGACAAACCGAACGCGAATCAACCCATTTGCCTAATTTTCTGTCCCTTTTCTTTAAACGGAAAGAGTTTACCACATGAATCTTATTTTTATTATTGATTCTTTTTTGAAGTTGCGACAGGGATGATTCAAGAGGTACATCCTATATAACTCTCCTCCGATATATCAAATGACTGGGAATAAATGCTTCCAAATTTTGAGCCTTCAGGTATAGATTAGATGTAGCATTAATTGCTGCCGATCTTGAGACAAATGACGTTTTCCAACAATTTCTGGAAATATTAGAAATCTCATCAAATTTGATCCCTGCTTTATCCAACTTAGATGAAATCTACAGGATTGAGATCCTCTTCATAACCTTGATTTTATTTCTTTGTCTTAAAAATACGACGAAATGACCCTTATATGTAGTGTCATACAGATTTGAGATGTTTATACTTAAGATCCTAGATAGCAAAATGCAATCCTAGATAGCAAAATGCTAGCAGTATGCCAACAGTATGCCAGCAAATTCAATCATGACTTCGCAGCAGATTCCGCTCTGCTGCGTCTTTATTAAACTTAATTTCTGACAGCACGGCTTGCCGATATAATATCACAGAGAAAATAGAGCAGAAATCGAGTATTATTTGCTATTACGTCGTGACAACAAATATGTAACAAAAATCGAGCGAAGTTTGCCATATCAGATCTGACGGCAGAAATGCGGCAGAAATCGAGCATGGTCTGCCGTTACAATGTGACGGCAGAAACGCAGCAAAAGTCGAGCATTGCCTGCTGTTACAATGTGACGACGAAAACACAGTAAAGATAAAACACGCCTGCATAGCATAATTACTAATATAGATACAATAAAATCTGAATATTGGCATAGTTATAAATAATTAATTAAATATATAAATTTAAATAAATGATTAATTTATTAATAATTTGTAAATTTCAAGATTTGTATGGAAATTGAACTCTTTATTTTGTTTCAAGAAGTCAATAAATTTTCTAATTATCCATTCGGTTTCCAAACTTTTAGTTTAATATTCTGAGTCCTTTATTAGAATTCAGAAATTAAGCTGATAAAAATAGATATTATGACTCCTGTACACAGGACACAAGACATGGCAACGCTTGCCGTGTCGCCGAGTCCTGTGTCCAGGAGCCATTACATATTTTTAATCTTGTTAACCGCGCTTTGCGATCTTTATATTTGCCTATAACAGAAACTTGATTACGAGATAGATACGTCATATAGCGGTAAACGAAAGAACTATAACTTGATACAGCATATCTTTAATATTGCTGTGATTCTACCATTATTTTGTGACAACAGATCATGCTGTGTTTCTGCTGTGTTTTTGCTGTTATCTTTTGAAATGGCAGCGCATGCTTGATTTTTGCAACATTTCTGCCGTTACGCCGTGCTTGCAGATAAACTCGATTTCTAATGATATTCTGCCGATATAGCATGATGTATCAAGTTATGTTCAGTTTTTATTTAGCTTCTATTGACATAGTGTGCCAACACGCAATGCTTTAAATCTACTGTTTTTATGCCAAAAACTGCTTAAATCTTGCAGCATTTTTTCTAGCATACAATGATGCAGAGATTGTTTATTTTCTGTTATATTTTTGCCGGCACTAATTGAAATGGCAAATCATGCGCGGCTGCTGCCAGAGTTCTAACGATATAATATGTAATGCATAATTTGCAATACGTGATCGGGCAAACTTGGCTATCTGGCAATGATTCACATACTGGTAAAACATACATAACGATATCTTATATAATGAGACAATGGGCGCGTTCAAAATAGCAAAGCAGCTAGCCTGCTCGCCGAGCGATTGAATATGATTGGTTTTTTCTTGTAGATTCAATTAATCACATTCAATCTCTTGGCGAGCAGGCTAGCCACTTTGTCCGTCTTGAATACGCCCAATGATTTCTATTATTAATCACTGTTAAAATTAAAATATTGCGACATACACTCAGTACAAAAAAAAGTGATACACTTAAAATTTGGCAAAAAATCACTAAATTTCGAATGACGATAACTACGCGAGTAATAATGATAGAAAAGTCTTTAAAAAAAGAAATTGAAGCTTGAAATCTCTACTTTAAGAATCAATTCATTAGAGTTTTGCGAGATAATTTTTTTTCAAAATTGCGGATGACAAAGCGAGAGCATGCAAAATTGAAAAATTTTTGTCCGAATTTGCGACGACCCATGGCAAAAGTTAAGTATCGCAACTTAGTGAGATAAAAAGCATGTGATAGTATAGTGTCTCCTCTTCAAAATGCTTTTTTACTCGTCTCAATAGGATGATTTTTTGCTGAGATATGCGCTTTTAAAGTAAATTTATCGGTATCAATCCTGCAGTTCTTATGATAGGTACCTTGAGACCAATTCCTTTCAGCGAAGATCCGGTTCGGGACGCCCCCGTATAACTGATGAATTGTTTTGCGCATTTGAATAAAAAGGCAGTTTTTTACTTTAAATGCGCATATCTCAGCGAAAAATCATCGTATCGAGACGAGTAAAAAAGCATTTTGAAGAGGAGACACTATACTATCACATGCTTCTTATCTCACTAAGTTGCGATACTTAACTCTTGCCATGGGTCGTCGCAAATTCGAACGAAAATTTTTCAATTTCGCATGCTCTCGCTTTGTCATCCACCATTTCGAAAAAACGTATTGCACATAATTGCGATATAAAATTTTTAACAGTGGCAATCCGAAACTTGAAAATGCTTTTTGGAACATCCTGCTAGCTGTATTAGGTGCTGAGATATTCAATTTTGAATTTTTAACAATGCCCAATTTTAACTATTGCAAGGATAAAAATTCCGGGTTTCGCTAACAACTGTGGTATTTTAAAGTTCAAAATCGTCCTCGGATTGTGAGCGTTCGACGTGTATGTGCATGTGTGTTGCGTAGCTGACGAACCATGAAATTTCACTACTCCAGACCCACATTAACTCAAGCAAACCTTTTGAGTAGTTATGTGAACGAAGCTTCCTCATTAGGGAATTTCGATATTTGATTTTACCGCGCAGAGAAAGTTCACTGAGCTGTATCAGCTCCAGGAACTGTCGTATATAATAAAAATAGCGACTTCCATCTAAATATTTCTTATTAAAGGTTTTACCGTCGGCATTAGCGTTACCCAATATGCACCACGGGGAGGTTGCGCGATCGGAATTTGCACATGTGGCCCTGAAAAGGGCCGTTTTGTAAATGTGTGTGTGTTCACCTCAAGGATAAGGACCCCGTGACTCGTCAGTTCCACGGTATTTTGCGACTCCAAACCCTTCTTGGGTGTGTATGTGTGTGTGTGTGAGCGCGTAACCGATGAATTGTTTTGCGCATTTGAATAAAAAGGCAGTTTTTTACTTTAAATGCGCATATCTCAGCGAAAAATCATCGTATCGAGACGAGTAAAAAACCATTTTGAAGAGGAGACACTATACTATCACATGCTTCTTATCTCACTAAGTTGCGATACTTAACTCTTGCCATGGGTCGTCGCAAATTCGGACAAAAATTTTTCAATTTTGCATGCTCTCGCTTTGTTATCCGCCATTTTGAAAAAAATTATCTCGCAAAACTCTAATAAATTTATTCTTAAAGTAGAGATTTCAAGTTCCAATTTTTTTTTTAAGACCTTTCTATCATTATTACTCGCGTAGTTATCGTCATTCGAAATTTAGTGATTTTTTGCCAAATTTTAGGTGTACCGCTTTTTTTTGGACTGAGTGTATAAAGGACTAATGACTACTTAAAATAATGTAAAATATAATTATGATAAGAAATAAAATCACAGTCGATATCACAAGTTTAAAGAAATAAGAATCTTTTCATATGTGATTCTTTAGTAAAATTGCATTTTGAAATTGCAATATTTTATGTAAAACTCTAAAACGTTATAACAGAATAATATATTTTTGGTACTTTCTATTCGTAATGACTACGCAGTCTTGTTATTCAGTTCTGTTGAAATGATTCTAATACCTCTAATATTTTGATCATGCATCTTATTTTCTGTTGTACAGGCACATGTTTTAACCCACGTGACAAGAACGTTATTAAACTTTTATCTTCTTCTGTGTCTGCCTTAGAAGTTGCATTCAGGAATGTTGGCAAAACTAAGCAAGTTGCAGCTATTGTTTGTGATGATCCTTTAATCATAGAATCTATTTCAAAATCTGTTTTCTTTCTTTTTTTGATATCTGAAGTAGGTACTATGAGTCACTTGCTTGACTACCAATACTCTCATTATCTAAAATTTTTTTATAGGTGTTAGAAGCATTCATAATCAAAAGTTGAATTTTCTCTGGAAAATAATGATTTCATCACTCACTTTTAGAAATGTTGTCAACAAAGTTTTCTTTACAAATAGGAGAGTATACTGGCGAACCCTTTAATGATGTTGTCGATTCTTCTGAATCTGAAATAGATAGTCGTGGACTTTGTCAATAACGATTTGGAGAGAGACCTGGGGGGAAGTATGTATTTAGAACCAGACGAAGGGCATGATGCAGATGACATAGATTTGGTATAATTGGAGAGTGTCCTATAACATAATTTTCCTAAATTAATAAGGGAACAATTGTATAGTTAGAAACAAAGAATTTAATGAATGAAATAAATGAAGTGAATGAAATAAATAAGTGAATGAAATGAATCAAAGCATGAGATAAATGTCAAAATCAATAATTACTTACTTTCGTGGAACATATAGATGACCCATGAAACGATGAATAGCCATGCTTTGTGGTGGCAACAAGTTTTCATATGAGATATTATCTCTTCCTGAACCTGACCGCCCTTGTTGTTCTGTTAATGCCAATATTTCTCGTCTTGCGCGACTATAGAGATTTCGCAACGTATCCCATCTGTTTCGCATCTGATCTAATAGGAAGATCAATGGAATGTGTACATAAACAGTGACACATGATCTTACGTATAATCTGCAAGCACAAAGAACTGGCACATACCACTTAATGAATGTTTTAGAGCTTTGCCAATAAAAACCCATGCTATTTCTTTTTCTTGTACATTCTTGTAACCCGCTTTTCCTTTAGCATAAAGTTTAGGATTGCCTTCAACGAGCGCAATCAAGTCCAAGTCATCTTGAATTTTATTGTCAATATTATAAATATCTTCCAAGACGGTTGTTGCTACTTGATCTGAATTTTCTTCAATTATCTCCTGTTAGGAATGGTAAAATATGACTTTTGCGGTACAAATAGTGCAGCTAGGGTGTGTACTTGTCTTTAGGGTTTTCTCACCAGATGGAGACATAGTACAAGAAGTAAAAGCACGCTAATTCGTTACTTTTGTTCACGTATACTTTAACATTGTATAATTCTTAACAATCTAATTATTAAAAGTGTATAATATATATAAATACTCCTTTTCTATTTTCCCAATTAGTCAAATCTAATATCTGCGACATATTGTGGTCGTAGACGTTGGAATAGGAATTGAACCAATTCGAGCGACTACGAATACGACTGTCCTACGACCGGAAACAAGGAATGTTATGACCGTTCTCGCGACTCTGAGACTCGCATTGTAGACCCCGCATTACTGTTCGTTCATAATAATTATCAAAATGGAAAATAAACGAGAAATTTGTCAGGAAATTTGTCATTATGTTTATTTACATTGACAAACAAAAGTTAAGTTGGCTCTAATGAAATATCAATCTTACTCGTTTCTATTCTACTTCCAGTGGAAACAGTACGTTAAATTCGATGTGCACCGAAACAGAATCGGATTGACGACTTCGGTGGAAACTAGACCACTGTGACTTCATTTGCTATGTCTCACTTGTTTTTGCTTCATCCTTCTTATTTTCATTATTTTTACTATCCGCAAGACGCTTCTTACACTCTCGATACCAGTGACCCATCGCACGGGGTGATTGCACGGATATTTCTTCTTAAGTTCCTCTACTTTGTTGACAGTAGTCTTTTTCTTCTTACCTTGTTTGCAATTGTCCGTTTTCAATTGTTTCTCATGTTTTAACTGCATACTTATCACTTGTAATGCGAGTGATGATGCCTCTTCCTCCGCAGTATTCAATCGTTTATCTTCACGAATAATCCTAGCAATAAGATTATCTTTCCTCTGCTCAGCTTTAGCAGTGCATTCTCATGCCATTCTAAATGCAGAAAATCTCGACGGCAAGCTGCTCAACAATTTCGACATTATGGCAGCATCCGAAATTGTCTCGGCCACGTCAATAAGCTTCCTACAAATAGATTCAAATTTTTCTAACTGCGTTGCAACAAACTCACCATCATTTATGCGAAATTCAAAGAATTGTTGCCAACAACACTGTTTCGCATCCTCGGTCATATCTCCATACAGCAAGTGCAGCTTATTCCATATGTCCTTAGGCGTCATACAATTTACCAAATTAATATGCAGTGACTGATCTACTGAGCTTAGTAAAATTACAGATGTCTTCGACTGACGCTTCTTCCATTCTTTCCAGTCTTTTAATGCTGTCTCCTTGACAGGCTGTATGTCCGTACCCTCAATGAATTCCATTAAATCTTGCGATTCCAACATAAATGACACACCATATTTCGTGAGGTTGAACGTTTCCTTTTCAGCCATTCCGACTTATTATTTTTGACGAGACCATAAGAAAACAAAACTTTATTTCACAACAATACTCTTAACAAAATAACCTCAAACCCAGCCGCGCAGTGGAAGCGTGCTGGGCCCATAACCTATTGGATTTTTCTTTTATTCAATGATTTACTGAATAAATACCAACACACTTGTTATCTTTGATATTGAATTATTATTGTGAATATAATAAAAGAACAACTGTAGTGCATACAACTAAAAAAAACACAAGACGGTAAAGAAAGAAAAAAAATATATACAACACAACGCATGCATGCAAAAACGACAAGTCTGCGCGAGAACAGATGCGCCACACAAAAAAACAAAGCGCGGCATAATTTAAAAAAATTAAAAAACAGTATATAACAACCTAAATACTATTTCTTTAACATTTTATTAAGTACTTCTTGAGTTATTTTATATTTTAATGTGACATATTTTGATATAAAAAATAAAATATCTCGTAAAATATTTAGTTTTCGATAATCTTACCATAATACTTTTATGTAAAAATTAAATTGAGACAAATCAATTAGTGTAAAAAAAACAAATAATTGTTTAAAAAAATACATTGTAAATAATTACATACTTTTTCTTAAAAACAATTATTTGTTTTTTTTACACTAATTGATTTGTCTCAATTTAATTTTTACATAAAAGTATTATGGTAAGATTATCGAAAACTAAATATTTTACGAGATATTTTATTATTTACATCAAAATATGTCAGAACAAAATATAAAATAACTCATAAAGTACTTAATGAAAAAATACTTTATTATAATGTTTTAAAAAGTTCTCGAGATAAGTTACAAGAATATGCAATAAAAAATAGGGATTATTTAAGAAATTTATGATGACCTTCACATGACTTTGACAACGCTATTCAAGGTCGTACTAATATTACTATGTAATGCGCTACTTGAAACCCTACAACTTTTGTCGGAAATATTTTTGTCTGTCGTTCTTGGTTTTCGAGATATTCGGCTGGCACGGGTGGTTTGATACACCCTGTATATATATAATATATGTATTTATTCTATATATATGTAAAACATATATAAGACATATATAACATATATAAGACATTTCTACTTACCGTGGTTACAAGAAATTATAATATGCACTTATTTAAACTTAATATTAACACAACCACATTTGATTGACAGCTCTGTCAGACTCATAAAGGAAAAGTAAGGAGAGTTATCTCGATAGTGTAGAAAGGAAAAAAGTTGGTCACGAAAAATGTTCCCTATGTGGCGAGGTTTGCCAAATGGAATAATTTGGACCATTTTGTCGCCATCTTGAATATTCGTATATGTATAGTGTTACGTTTAGTTGTGGTAGTAATTAGTAAGTAGTATGTCATCCAACACACTTACTGATCACTAATACAACTAAACATAACACTATATATGTACGAATATTCAAGATGGCGACGAATTGGTCCAAGTCATTCCATTCTTTTATGGCTGGTTGGGCATTAGTCGCCCATACACCATTGTTTCTTATGGGTTTGTGAAAAATAAGCAAAATTCCTCTTAAAAGAGGAGGAGTCCAAAAAAAAGGTCCAGACAAAGAACATACGCAGCACGCAAAAACATGTCCGAACCCGACACGTTGTCAGTCGGAACTTCATAGACATGAAGGAAGAGTAAGGAGAGTTATCTCGATAGTGTAGAAAGGAAAAAAGTTGGTCACGAAAAATGTTCCCTATGTGGCGAGGTTTGCCAAATGGAATAATTTTGACCATTTTGTCGCCATCTTGAATATTCGTATATGTATAGTGTTACGTTTAGTTGTGGCAGAGAGAAGAATGAGAGTCGCCACGCTGCCATTTTTCGTGAGACGCTTTTTCTAGGTCGTACACTAGCGTCACGTACATCCATTTTACGCCGCCTGGAACTACATGGCCATATCCACTTTTGGAGCCGATAAAACAGCCGATTGGTTCATGTCCGTGCTATATCCACTTTTCGATACTGTCGATTTTGGTTTATGTCCGTGCTACATCCACTTTTCGATATTGTCGATGCTGGTAGTACACTGATCGTTTCAAAGAGAGATGATTGCGCTGTCTTCGTCTCTTTTTCATTGCGTATGTGTGTAGCGTCCGTGAAGGCACA